AGATAACTTGAGGATCGTGTCAAATGCCGTGAAGCCAGCTCAGAAGCAGTAAGGTAAGATGGAAGGGGTACCTCGAGAATCAAGCGCAAGCAGGGATGAAGGGACAAGCAAGCTGCATGAGCAGGTAACCAGACCCCCGCCGTCCACTGGGGTTGCATCAGCCTGTCTCCCCCAGTTCACACCTATGGCCCCATGATGGGGTGAGAGGCCCCTCCCCTGCTTCATACCTATGGCTCCATGGTGGGGTGAGGGGTTCCTCCCCCAGTTAACACCTATGATTCCATGGTGGGGTGAGAGGTCTCTCCCCTGGTTCACTCCTATGGCCCCACGGTGGGGTGAGAGGTCTCTCCCCTGGTTCACAACAATGACTCCATGATGGGGTGAGAGGCCCCTCCCCCAGTTCACTCCTGTGGTTCCACGGTGAAGTGTGGTCCCTCCGTTGGTTCACACCTATGGCTCCATGGTCTGGTGAGTGGTCTCTCCCCTGGTTCCTACCTATGACTCCATGGTGGGGTGAGGGGTCCTCCCCTGGTTCATACCTATGACTCCATGGTGGGGTGAGGGGTCTCTCCCCTGGTTCTTACCTATGACTCCATGGTGGAGCGAGAGGTCCTTATGACAAGCTGATGGAAAAGGAAAGAGTCTGAGCTTGGCTCACGAAAGGGTTGGCTCAGTATGTGCATATAAGTCAGTTATGGGCAGTGTCTGCACTACAGCCCTACACAGAGGCTGTAGTGCAGAGGCAGTGAGAGCAATTCTCCCCATGGGCAGAGCTTTGGGTAGTGCACCTGGTTATCCACTGTGTGTGGAAAGCAGAGTGGCCCAAGGTCAGAATATACACAGGCTCCTGGGTAGTAGCGAGTGGTTTGGCCAGCTGGGCAGGACCTGGAAAGGGAAAGGTGGAAGACTGGGGACAAGAGGAACGTGAATGGGTATATGGGAGTGGGCACGGTGAGTGGAGGTTTTTATATCATGTGTTAAAAATGCAACCTCTTCTCCACATAAACTTAGAAATAACAATGTAGAAAACTTACTTCTCTTCCATTCACAAAGAAAACAAGCTCATCTGACTCTGTAGAACGAGACATTATGCCAAAATAATTGGCTGAAAGTCGTGAAGTTCTGTGGAAAGCACCCATGGCTGTGTCCACATGAGGGACTCCCTGAGATGCTCCCGTGGGAGGAGGGACAGGGGTCGGAGGGAACACCCTGCACTCTGAGTGTGTTCCTCCAACTGAACCCTGTATGTCTGGGCTCCCAACCCTCTTACTCCCCACCTTCCTCTGCTACCCCCACTCTCCTCCCTTGGGCCAATCTGGAGCTTCAGTCTCAATCTACTTCTTACACATGCGCACTTTTCCCTGCCCTGGGGTAACCCGCTGGAATAAAACATCCTCTTACAGCCACCAACAAGACTCCAAGAGGAGAAAATAGTCAAGGACAAAAGAATAAATACAAATATTCACTAATGTGGAGCAAGGTGGAAAACCTCACTCTAACAAGAGAAATGCCCACTACCAGCTGTCGTTCCCCCACACATTGGAAAAACAGAAAGCATGGCTAATACTCAGTGTTGCTGAAGGCTATAGGGAAGCAGACTCTGCCATAATGAGTCGTCGTACTAGTGCACGTTCTGGAAGGTGAGTTAGTTGGACCTAGTAGTGTGCATGCCCTTCACCCAGGAATTCCAGAGCTAGGAATTTGTGCAACAGAAATATTTGCTCAAATGTGCCAAGCTAAAGCCCAAGGATTTTCCTTGCAGCATTATTTGTAATAATGAAATGTGGAAAACAACTTAATGTAAATCCATAGAAGACTGTTTAATAAATGATGGCAATGGTAAGACTAGTTAACATTTCTTCAGAGCTTACTAGGTGCCAGGTGCTGTTGTAAGTACTTTACGTGTATTAGCTGATGTAACCCTCTCAACAACCCCGAGGTAGATACTATTATTCTGTCCATTTCACAGGTGAGGCAATGGAGGCACAGAGAGCCTAAGAAACTTGAAAAAAAAAAAACAAATTTAAATTATATGAATAGTTTGAATTCACTTTTTAGAAATTAATAAAAATAAATCATGTATACACATATATAGAGTCATATGTGCATGGGCAAATTCCGTATGGGCACAGAGGAAGCATAATAATTAACACTGAAGTGTGAAAATTGGGTAGAAATGTTTTCATTTTTGTATTTTTAAAAAATATGCATTAGTTTTGTAATTTAAAACAAACTAATTAACAAATACATTTGACACCTAGAACTCACCTGAATGCATTATGGCATCTACATAATTTAGTTCCATTTCACCGACTAAAGAAGGTTCTTGATGCTGGCTATAAGAAGACGTTTTAGCCCAGTGGGTCACGTGAGGGCCGGGAGAAGTGCGCATGTGTAAGAGCTAGATTGAGACTGAAGTTCCAGATTGGGCCAAGGGCGGAGGGGAGTGGAGGTAGCAGAGGAAGGTGGGGAGTAAGAGGGTTGGGAGCCCAGACAGACAGGGTTTGTTAGTAGAAGGTATTAGGATTCCTGGATGAAAAGCATCTGATTCTATGGTGCCTTCAGACTACGTTTTGTAACTGATTTTGAGTTCCTTTAGGTGTTAGGCACTGACTTCTCTTTATTACAATCTTCTGCATCTCTCTCTTCTCCCCACTTCCTCCCCCAGCTCTGTCTCCTTAAACATCTGTACCACCACCACCGCTGCCGCTACACACAAACACACACTAATTAACAGTGTAAAATCTTTAGATCGTTTGCAAATAATTGTAAAACTTTTGACCAGCAAGAATAGAAGTCATAACCAGAAAGCCAGGAATAAATTTCAGTTAGTTCATACTTTAATACATTGCTCCTTTAAGTAGGGACTCTTAAATCGCTTAAGAGAATGAGCAAAATAATTTTTCTGGTCTCACTTTTGTTTTGAGTTCTTGAGGTTTAGCTAAGACATAATCCACGAATGGAAGGTGCTCTTTGCTTTCACCGTCCTTGACACTGCGCCTGAAAGGCAACCCAGGGTCGTGTTTTCAGCACCACTGGCAAAGAGGAAGAGGTTGCCAAGGTTGAAACTGAGCATCCTAGTCCCACGTGCCCCGCACTCCACGTGCGGCTGTGCAGGGAAACGAAGGCTCAGGGCACTTATGTAATGTGCCCAAGATCACCTCGTGAGCAGGCATCAGAGAGATCTTGCTGTTCATCTGTCTGCTCCCAAAGTTTGTGTTCTTCCCCCTGGGCCAAGTTTCCTCTCCTAAGGACGTGGCAAGTCTTCTAGAATCCCCTCACTGATGGGAAGTGGCGATGCTTTCCTGCGGATGTGGAAATAATGCTATTTGTCTGCTGCTGCCAAGGCCTTGTTTTCTTAACTTTTCAAATATGAGGGAAGAACAGAGAACAAAGAGTGTCTTTTGCAGATAGTGGTGAGAGTTAAAACCCTTTTATTCAACTGTATCAAGAATTTTAAGTTTATAATATTCAATATTTCATATTTTATTGTTTTCCTGAAACCAGTGTTGTGTTAGAATGCAAATACTTGTTGGTTATCCTGTGAAACAAAGCCAAACATTTGTCCTGCCAAAATAAAACCAAGTACAATACAGTGTTACGTACTTTTATAATTGCCAAGAGTGATGTCTGATCAACTCAGGCATACAAGATCAAGAAACATATTCGAAATAGTTCTTATCATTCAGAAAGAATGGGCTACAGGAAAACTGCCTCAATCTGTATAATCTCTTCCTCTGCACAGGTCACTGAGAGGATTCAGAACCTGAGTAAATGTATTGTTCTACCTGAGAAAAAACTGTATCCCTTTTTTTTTTTTTTTTTGTGAGGGAAATCAGTCCTGAGCTAACATCCATACTAATCCTCCTCTTTTTGCTGAGGAAGAGCGGCTCTGAGCTAACAGCCGTTGCCAATCCTCCTCCTTTTTTTTCTTCCCCAAAGCCCCCCAGTAGATAGTTGCATGTCGTTGTTGCACATCCTTCTAGTTGCTGTATGTGGGACGCGGCCTCAGCATGGCCGGAGAAGCGGTGCGTCAGTGCGCGCCTGGGATCCGAACCCGGGCCGCCAGCAGCGGAGCGCAAGCACTTAACCACTAAGCCACAGGGCCGGCCCAACTGTATCCTTTTATTTTGGGGGGAAGGTGAGGCAAACAAGAAACTCTGGAAACCTTGCAATCTCCCTTGAATTCATAGAACTTTTTCCTCTCACCATGCTTCATGACAAACTTTTATAATGTAGGTAGGATTGGAGTAAAGTAAGTGGCTTGTCTTACAGATGGAGTGGTGTATGACGATGGTTCCTGAACTTGAGCAAGGATAATGATCACTTGAAGATCTTGTTTAAAATGTGGATTTTTTGAGCCCTACTCCCAGACACCTGATTCACTCTGAGAAACTTAAGTTTATGGGGACCCCAGGTCTCTTGGTCGTATCACATGTAGCTGAGTTTCCTGCCTTGGTCACCAGGGCCAGCTGTCTGGCCAGCTGTGAGAACGAGACCCTGCGTGGAACCCAGATTTGACCAGTGGGAGCTCTGGAGAGCCAGGGTCAGCCTGAATTCACCAGAGTTCAGCCCCAAAGTGTGGCTGACAGGTCTGCTCCCTGGAGTTTGTTCAGGCTGAGTCCCAAACCTCAATCACAGCGTAAAGACAGGTGCCCCCTGTTGGCTGGTCCTGGGGCGGATTTGGAGACACATCTACACCTGCCAGGAGGCAAGAAGTGGGAGCCAGCATCCAGGGAAGGACCCTGGGAGATGTTGATTTCTTTTAATACCAAAAGAAAAAGTTTGAAAAGTGTCCTTGGAAACTAAATGGTCAGTACCCTGTTTATGTCCATTCTCTCCACTTTGACATTTTCACATTCATATAACTTGATAAATGTGTCATGACGGCATTGGGGAGCAACCCATGACCACGCAGACAACCGGCTCTGATTCACTACATCCCCTCTGCTCACCCCAACATCAATCTATGAATGAACCAAAAGTTCAGGCATTTTGTGAGGGATGGCTGTAAATTTCTTTTTCTTTTTTCAGGCCAAGCACCAAAATTGTATTATATTCTTTTCCAATCATTCTAGCTTTCCTTGTTTAAAATAAGTGGTGTTGAGGAGGCTCCAACTGTATAAAATATTTCCATTTTTGATAATTTGTGTGCCTTTTAGGTGCCTCCCCTGTCCGGACTTTGTGTGAATTAAAATAAAAGACAGACACAAGAGAGGTGTAAAAGCCTGCTCTCCACCCATTCTAGTAACCCTCCTGCAGACGGATGACCACATCCAGGGTCAAGCGCAAGGTCTCTCATTCTCACCTTGAGAGGTAAAGGGAATTTCGTGTGCTTTCAGCAACCTGAGCATTTGGGGAGATGCGCAGTTATCCTCATTACTCATTCAGCCAGTATCTCTGAAGCTTCCCCCCTCCTAGGCCCTGGGGCCCAGACAGAGTTACCCGCCCCATGGAGTTGACACTCTGGTGAAGTTACTGAATGACTCGCCTTCACGGGAGTCTCTTTTAACTCTTCCTCATATCCTCCGGATCTTTATAAGCTCACAGATAACCTAGAGATTGTTGAAAGGGTAACGAGCTGATTATTTGACCAGCCATAACAATTGCTTTTTGGGCATTTATATATCAGGATCACTCTCTGTTGATTATCTTTTTCTCTTGAGTTTGAATCATGTTTTCCTAAATTTCATGTGTTGAATACTATTGGAGTGTATCCTGGACTTTGTGAATCCTATGTCATAGAAAATATGGATTCAGGTATGTTCTTCCAACAAGTTTGATGTTTTCATTTTAGTAGGTAGTTATGTTGTCTGAACTTAAACTTCTTCTCTGTTATGAGTAACATGAAATCTCATTTCAGGTCTTTTATCCTTAGCAGGGCTGCTTCGAATCTTCTTCACATATATGTGATTCAGGAGTCAGCTAGAGATTTGGGGAGAGTTCGTACACAAAACTTGGGGCTCCCCTCTCTACCTCTCGTTTATTTCCCCCATCACACGCACTTGACAGCTGTTGTAGTTGCCCTGAATTCTGACTTTGAACTTGACTGTGGACTTCTAACTTTTTAAAAATGTGGTGCTGACTGAGGTTCTCCACAATGGGAAACTCACCCTCCTTCTAAGTGTCAAACCCCCTTCAGTTTCTACTTGCTTTCTGTTCACTTTCCAGTGACTTCAGGTAATTGTTGTTTTATATTTTGTCCAGAATTTATGGACATCATCTTTGATAGGGTTGGATTCCGTAGTAGCTATTCGGGCATTACCCAGAAGCAGAACCTCTCTCCTCTCTATTTATTTTCATTAACTTGTTTCTTCAAGCGGCATAGAAATTTCCTCCAAATGGCTGCCTTTAAATTTTTAACAAATATTTTACAATATTTATTTTGATTATCATCAGTAATTTTTAAATATCTATGGTTTGTTTGGCATACAAGGAAAAATCTTTAGCATTGGGGGATCTTACCTTTCATTCTTCGACTTCAAGAAGGTCAGTGTATCAGATTATTTCTGTGGGTTTCTGTCTTCTCATCCCCATAGATTTAGCTACTGTAGGAATATGGCTTTAGTGTACATGGATGCCTTTTGGAAACATAGCAAACTTTATTTCACACATAGCTTTACATGCAATTGTAGTTGCTTGAAACCAGAGGAAGAGTTTTGGGTATTCCATAAAATTAGTTATAGAAAAACTATAAATATTATGCATGAATATTTGTAAGTATGTTTGAACTTTATTCATTGCATTAGTATTATTATCCTAACAGCCTAACCAGTGATTATATTAGTTATCTCCTTGTGGGGCCACTGGGGCTGTGAGGGTAAGAAGCATTTCTGCTTTATTCCAAGTCTGTACTATTAGAAACTTTTTTCTACATGTAATTGTCTTCTTTGAACCCAAAAGGTAGCAGGGTGGGTTGGTGGTTGGATCTTAAATAAATGGAATATAGAAAGAACTATCCCTGTAGTTTTCTAAATATTTTTTGTAAAATACAAAATTCCTCATTCTTTCCCACTTGTCTTTAGGGTTCCATTAACTTCAAATGATGATGATGATGATAAAGAGAAAGTGCAACGTGACGACAATATTATATCAAAGACATCACCTGATAGTCCCTCTTCGGTATCAACAAGACAACCTTTATCAAAGTATAATTTGGAATTGTTATTTCTCAAAGAAAATAAGCAGAATGTGTGTAGTTGAAGGTATTCAGAACATATTTCTTCTATTGATAGACTTCCCCAAGGTGAGATTTTTAAATTCATTTTGAGTATCAGTATGAAATAGTTACATTCATCAGATTTTCTTCTTGAGCCGTGGTTTATAAACAGATAATAAGTTAGATCTATTCCATTGCAAATTTACTACCTTTTACCATTTAAAATTGCTGGTGAAAAATTTACTTTAAAGGTAGATATGCCAACAAATGTCAAATGCAGAGTGGGCTAATACTGTTACGCTGGAAGCAGTATTTAGAAAGGAGCCAGCCTAAAGAGCCTTTCTTGGTATCTTAGCCTATGAATTGAAAGATAGCAGTCAGTCATGCACTGCTTAACCACAGGGATACGTTCTGAGGGATGCATTGTTAGTTGATTTCATAGTTGTGCAAACATCACAGAGTGTACGTACACAAACCTAGATAGTATAGCCTACTGCACACCTAGGCTGTATGGTACTAATCTTGTGGGACCAGCATCATATATGCGGTCTGTCATTGACCAAAATATTTTAAGCAGTGCATGACTGCATATTTGTCTAGTTTCATCTTCTCCTTTTCATAGATATAAAAATTGTGTGCCTAGATAGGTGTAGTGACTTTTTCAAAATCATAACCAGTTAGTGGTAAAGCAAAAACTTGAGCATGACTAATGATTGAGCAAGAGAGAATGATGACACTTACATTGTATTTACATGGGATTTCAGAATAATAATCCTATGGTGTAGGCTGGCTTATGTATTTGTTGTAGATTTTCAGATTGGGATATGGAACCATAACTATATTGAATTTAGAGCTTAGAATTATTTTTACTTTCTAGAAATGTATGTATGTGTGCACAATTTATATATACATCAGCTGCCTTCTGATAGCCTTTTTTTGTGTGTGAGGAAGATTGGCCCTGAGCTAACTTCTGCCAATCTTCCTCTTTTTGCTGAGGAAGACTGGCCCTGGGCTAACATCCATGCCCATCCTTCTCCACTTTATATGAGACGCCGCCACAGCATGGCCTGACAAGCGGTGCGTCGGTGTGCACCCAGGATCCCAACTGGTGAACCCCAGGCCGCCGCAGCAGAGCATGAGCACTTAACCGCTTTTGCCACCAGGCCGGCCCCCTGATAGCCTTTTGATGGTAATCCTTATCAGAGTTATCACTGTTATTGGGGCTCGTTCCTGGCCTCCTCCTACTCTAGAGATATATGTTAATGGCTCTACTTTTGGCTCTTCACTCTACTGTCGGACCCAAAGCTGAGTGAATTCTCAGAAACAATTTTCCACAGATACAAATGTAAAATGTGGGTTATGAATACTCTGATCATTTCTACTTTATTTTTTATTAGCATAGATTGTTTATAATATAAATATCTGAATAGAACACGTTGTCAGCAATCCTCTCTGTGAAACAGCTTGATTTCTAATTTAATTTGTTTAAAATAATAAATTTCATGTCATTACTTATTTCTGAAGGTATTTCCCTTTATTTTATAGAAAACCACTCAGACCAAAGTTCCAAGAGTCCTCTAATGAGTGAGATAAGGAAGAGCCACTCAATCAGCCACAGAAAGGAGAAACCATCTCCTAGTAAGTAACATGACTGAAAAAAATGTGTGTCATCTTGGGAATCAAATAATCCTGCAGGCACTCCCTGTGTGACAGATTTAGATCAACAACAGATTTCAAGTCCAGGATTAACTCGGAATAATGAGATAAATGATCCTACTAATGAAATGAATATTAAAATACAAAGAAACATACAGTGCCTTCCTGACACCTCTGAGTTTGCAGGTGAAGCTACTGCAGAGCGCATGAATCAAGTTCAGGGTAATGGTGACTTTCAGTTGCAGAAAACTGTGTATGCTGCTGACATGGATTTAACTGCAAGTGAAGTAAGCAAAATTGCCACAGTTTCAACAGGCACTAAAAATAAAAGTAATAAAAAACCAAATGATTGTGGAATGAAAATTTTCAAAAAAGTGAAAAATTCAAGCTCTGAAAAAAAGAAAGAAAGATCAAAGACAATTTAAAAATAGTTCAGATGTGGATATTGAGGAAAATATTGAAAACAGACCAGAAAGAAGATCTGTTGTCCTGGATGGCAAAGAGGATTCAGAAGATCCAAATTTTATTTTCAGTACTGAACTGCTGACTCAGTTGAACATCCTGGAGAAAATAACCCTACATAATGGCTTTGATCAAGATGGCAGACAAAGTACACAGTATAATCAAAAAAAGAAAAGAATTCTTGGAACAGATGAGCAAGAAGAAACATGCTTGTTCTCCCAAAGTTCAGATAAATTCCGACAGGAGACTAAATTTGATAAGGGTCAGAGTTCTCTAGCTTGTAAAAAGGTAAAGCTTCTAGACAGACATTTATGATTCATAAGTTAGAAAAAGGTAATTATTCTCAAACCAAAAAGGTAAAGAAACCATTTCTAAAACCCTAGAATTCAGAAATGAATTTCAAACAGTTGATCTATCCACCAAAGATAATGGAAATTTACATGATTATGAGACCCAAAATATGTTGGATTTGAAAAAGCATGTCACTGATATGCAACTGCTCAGCAAAGTGAATCAAAAATAAATAAGAAGCTTAGGCAGAAAGTAAATTGGAAGACAGAAATAATTTCTGAAATGAACCAGATATATGGGGATAATGCTAAAGATGCACAGGGCCCAGAGAAAGGTAACTTTTTCTTCCAAACCCGGGAGGATAAAGAAACCATCTCTGGAAACTCAGAAGTTTCTAAAGAGTTTTGAATACCTGCTCTTTCCGCCAGCGATACTGGAAACCTGTGTGATCATGAGACCCAGGGTGTGCTGGGTTTACAAAAGCAGATCACCGATGTGTACCCTCTTCAGCAAAATGAATCAAATGTTAATATGCTTAGGCAGAAAGTAAATCGAAAGACAGAAATAATTTCTGAAATGAATTATTCAGATGATGACAAAAGTGTGTATGGCCCAGAAAAGGATAAATCTTTCTTCCTAACCGAGTAGGATAATGCAGTCATCCCTGAAAACCAAGAAGACCCAAGCGAGTTGACAACACCTGCTGTTTCCACCAAAGATAGTTGAAACCCATATGATTTTGAGACTCAAGATGTTTTGAGAGTGAAAAAGCCTGTCCATGATTTGCAGCCCACTTGTCAAATCAATCAGAAATAGATAAGAAGCTTAGGCAGAAGGTATATTGCAAGACAGAAATAGTTTCTGAAATCAACCAAATCTATGAGAATAATGACAAAGGCATACATGACCTGGAAAAAGGTAACTTGTTTTCTCTAACCCAAAAGGGTAAAGAAATCATCCCTAAGAACCTAGAAGACTCAAATGAGTTTCAAACAGCTGATCCTTCCACCAGAGGTGATAGGAACCTATGTGATCATGAGACGCAAAACATTTGGGGGGTGAAAAAGCGTGTGACTGACATGCCACCTGTAAAGCAGAATGAATCGAAAATAAAGAGGCTCAGGCAGAAAGTAAGTCGGAAGACAGAAATAATTTTGGAAATGAACCAGATAAACGAGTTTAAGAACAAAGGTGTGCGTGACCCAGAAAAAGGTACGTCTTTTCCCTAACCCAACAAGATAAAGAAACCATTTCTGAAAAGCTGAACATAACAGATGACTTTAAAACAGCTCATCTTTCCACCAAATATAATAGAAATTTATACGAGTATGAGACCCAGCATATGTTGGATATGAAAAAGCATATCACTGATATGCAACATGCTCAGCAGAATGAATCAAAAACAAATAAAAAACTGAGGTAGAAAGTAAATCGAAAGACAGAAATAATTTCTGAAACGTTCCAAATACATGAGGATAATGATAAAGTTGTGCCTGGCCAAGAAAGCTATACCAAAGATCTTGGTCTTAAAACAAATGAATGGAAACAAAGACTTGAATGCCAAGGTATTATCAGTGGAGACTGTACAGAAATCAAGAGTAATGAAAAGGAAAATTGTGATCAGATTTCCAATCCTTACAAACTTGTTCAAAAGCATGGGAAAGAATCATCAGGCAAGGCAAAGAACATTTTGGCAAAAAGTGAAAACAAACCTATTTTGCAGTTAACAGATTCTTCAGAGACGTGTATGTCCTTAGAATCACGTTCAAAACATGTTCCTAATGAAGCTGATTCTGGTCCTGAAAACCACATGGAACCACATGAGAATCCAAAGCAAATAACTACAGCTCTGAATAGAAAAAGAAAGATCCCCTCTGTGGGAGTGATAACAGAAGGAGGGTGCCAGGCCAAAGTAGTCAGTAAAATGACATCCAGATCCAAAAGGAAGACCTTCAGATAGCCTTCTCCAGACGGCCGTAAAGTAATGGACACCCTTCAGGGAGTATCAGTTGAATCTGAACAAGCTGATAAGGAAACAAATTTGGAAAATGAGAAAATTGTCCCAATTAAGCCAGACTCTTACCCAAAGGTGTTTACATCTTTATCTCAGATATATTCACCTAACATACAAGAGTCTTCCTTTAACGGTGTTCCTCAGGGTTCAATACCTTTGAGTATTTTTTCTAGCAATAAGCTGGTAATTAGAGAAAGTTTTGCCCTGGAGAGCTCACGGATCCTTCAAGTAAGTGATGATGTGCGTGAGAAGATGGAAGGGATGAAATTTAAAGTCAACCAGAGAACACAAAAATCAGGAATAGGTAGGTCAATACCTGAGGTGATCAGGTTTTAAATGTATATATATTTTTTCCCTTAACCAGTAAAATATTTGCTATTATAACTGATATTTTTATGGAATTTAAAAACATGTTTAACTGTGTAGCCTGATCTATAGAAACAATAAGAAGCAATTTTTAAAAAGTGTAATACTTTGGGAAGGTAGCTGTGAGAGTGTCTTGGACATTTATTACATAAAACATGGATTTGGCCTTTACCAAAAAGTTCTCTGATAATGACATTAGGCAGATAATTTTCTTTCTCACATATTTGAAGGAAATCGAGTGTTTTAGATGTATATAATAGTGAATTACCCTGGTTTGATTTTACCAAAGACAACGCAAGTTTCTTAAGGGTGAGACTCTCTCCAGCATGTAGTGAATGTGAGCAAAGCATTATTATAGTGAGTTTAATGGATTTAAAAATAACCAATACCAACTCCCTTTCCTCAGAATACTTGGATGTAAAGGTAACAAATATAGTATATAGTGTTGAAATGTGGTAAATGCTTTAATAAAAGCACACGTATTATGGTGAGGGATGTAATTGTTATCCAACCAAGTGGGCTCGCCTCCTGGTGAGTTAAGTAAGACTCAACACCAGTGGAAGTTGTCTCAAAAAGTAAAGTGTATTTGCAGCAAATAGGAGGCCCTGAGGAATCATTTTGCAAAGTCATGGCGTCCCCGAACAAAGGGAAGCAGGAACTTTCATTTCGGTTGGGGAATGAATATTCAACAGGGAGAGGCGGGTATTCACTTTCGCAGGCTCAGTTGGAGAACAGGCTTCCACATAATGAGGCCTAAGCTCCTCCTGGAGAGATCTTTGCTTTAAAAATAAGGCAAAGGTCATGGGCGTAGCTCTTGTGGTGAGGCTTGGTCAGTTGCGGGATGGCTGGTGGTCACATCTCCTGAACATACAAAAGGAAAAGAAACAACTTGGAAAAGCAGTTAATTGGTTCCACCTTCACCCTTGAGTTTCTCAAGGCACCTAGTAGGTGACATAATGGGGAGTCATTTTGACTAGAGGAACCTGCAAAGGCATCATGAAGTAAGTAGCATTTTAGGTCCTGAAGAACAGGTAGACTTTTTACCTTTAGTGAGTTTTGTTTTCCCCGGTTCTTCAAATAATACTCACTGAAGAAAATTGGATGTAGAGAATCAGAAAATAGCAAGAAAGAGTCTCCTGGAAGAGCTGCAGTCAGCATTTTGGCATATGCGTGCAGACCTGTGTGGGAGATCAAGATTTGGCCACCCTGAAATATATCTCTTTACCTTGATTGTTTTCTCTGAGGGACATTTGACCTCCCCCACTAACTGCCTAAAGAATTTGACATGATGGCTCCTTCCTAGAGCAGATCTATCATGATGGCTGTAAAGATAATGTAAGATAAATGTTACAATAGGAAACGCACCAACAAGCCCATCTTATCAGAAGTTCTGTCTCTCTGGCCACATTCTCTGGATGACCCTGCAAGGAGCTGCCAGACAAACATTTACATTTATAAGGAAAATCTCCATTTGTAAAGGTATCTCCCTCTCTGTTTTGGGAAGAGGGGGGGATGGCCTCATTTTTAGAGGCTTATCAATGTGAAAGGTGAGGCCTTAAATCTGCATAATAACCTT